ATATTAATCTCAACATACCAAAAATAAAAGCAATAACAAATACAAAATTTCTAGGAATAAATATAGATGAAAATTTTAACTGGAAATTGCAAGTAAACGATGTATCTACGAGATTAAATAAATTTGCATACGCCCTTAAACATTTAAAAAACGTTACCAACATAAAAACGGCTGTTCTGTCCTACCATGCATACGTCGAGTCAATACTGCGCTATGGACTTGTAATCTGGGGGAATAGCACGGATCAAAATAGAGCATTTCGCGCACAAAAAAAATGTATTCGAGCAATATGTGGGCTTAAACCAACTGAATCATGTCAACTGGTGTTTAAAAAACTTGACTTATTACCCCTACCATGTCTTTATATCTATGAAATATGCATGTTTGTATGGAAGCATAAATATTTATTTAACACGGCGGATAATGTAAACCCTCAGATGCGGCGAAACCCATACAAACTCAAATAAAAATTAAGTGACAATCCTAGAATAAGTAAATATAAAAAAAGCTGTTTATCTATGTGTGTACGTTTATATAACAAGTTACCAAATAATATTAAAATGTTAAATACTAGATTATTTAAATCAAAATTACTGGAATACCTAGTTAAGAATACTTTTTTATAGCATTATGGACTATATTAATCATAAGTCTTAATGTACGATACAAATCTTTTGCATGCTATGTTCTCTCTAGCAAAACATGTTGTTCGAATGTATATTTGTAAAATCTTTTTCATACCATGTTTTAAGCAAATAAATATGTTATTATTATTATTAAAATACTATCGCTATTCGTTGGCTTTATAAGTGCGGAAACTGCGTAAATGAACCATATATTTTACTGAATGTTAATTCCGTCCGCAAAAGATTTCTGTTACACTCAAGTAGCGGTTAAAGAAGTTTTACTTCAAAAATATTAAATATCAAAATATCAAAAATTATTAAATAGAAACGCCGTTATAAGGTCTGAAATTGCGTAGCGCCCGCGACGATTAAAAGCGCTTAGAAATTGTCAGAATCTTAAAATATTTTTTAAAAAAATTATTGATTTAAGTTATCAAAATAATGAGCAAGTAAATTATGAATATTGATGTTATGAATATATTTGAGTGATTCCCAAACATATAGATCAAAAGATTTCGTTGTAATTTCAACTATAGTGATTTTTTAGAGGTGTTTTCACAAATAATTATGATCGAGTCAAAATTATACAATCGTGTTTTTGAGCAATCAAATTCAAGATAAAGACTTGAATTTACCTATATCAAAATCCCACTTTCGTTAGTGTTGTCATTGTCCTATACTATTCGATGAAAGGAGGTGCATTTTTTCACGGTGTCGCCCTAAGCAGTAAAATGGTAATAAAAATACGTACTTTGGTTTGGTATTACAATATAAATATTATAGAGAGGTTCAGATGGTTAGTGTGTTTTTATTTCGATTTATAAGTTACTAAAAAAATAAACAAAGCAAAGCATGTAAAGAAAGGTAAGTCGAAGTATAATTATAGTCATCTCTGTGAGAGTTTCGATGATAGGTCTCCATAGGTCGCCTATGGAGAGTTCGCTACACAAGTGTTCCATTTTCACCCACTACGGAAACTGGGGCGAAAAGTAGTAGTCCATTTAAAGCACTAGTCAAAACGTTTTCTTTTTCAATGTTAAAATGGTATTTTTTTATTCATCACTCGCCCCTTAAAAGGACTACAAAAGCCAAGTGACCTCGAATGATGCGCGCACACATTTTACATAATGATAAACCTCACTGTCGTTAGATGGCGTTCCAATAAACAAATAGAAGGGACAATGAAATTATTTTATGTGTAATTATACTGAGTGTTACTCGAAAATTTAAGAATGTGGGTAATTTTGAAATGAAACTGATTCGATGAAACTTCAAATATTTTTATTTTCAGATCCATATTAAAAAATGTCGAAGTGGCGCCGTTCTTTTTTACACATCTTTATTTTGCATACGGGTTGTTTACATACGGGTTTATTTTTAGATTTATATTATTTCGCATCTAGTTTAAGCTTTGTTATATTGTATTCTTTGTTGCTTGTTAATTTATATATATATATATATATATATATATATATATATATATATATATATATATATATATGTATATATATATATCTTTTATATATATCATAAATCTTTTATATATATATATATATGTATAAAAGATTTATGGGTAACAAATACGCGTACGTGCGTTCCTCTGTATCCGATTTACTTATATCAATAATTTCGCAATAATGATTTTCCTGTGGTTTCAACTGTTTCCAATCTACAGTTCAGTATTTAATAAATTTATCTAATTATATTATAAAATAAATATAATACTGAATATATAAAAGACAAAAAATATAATTTGACTTCAACGAAAGAAGAATATTTATGAAAAGGAAAATATTTAATTTTTAAACTTATTTTATTTCTTTTAAAAGTATTGAATAAATTTATCTAAATAGACTTAGTCAGGTCATAAGTTCTGTCAAAAACTTTTTATAGAATTAATGATACACTTTTTTATAATTATATACAAATTACATATGAAATGAAAGGTAAAAAATTTTTTCCCGCGTACCGCCCTATCAAAGCGCGGGATCTATTCAGTCTATTTCTTTCCAAATGCTTGTTAAAAAATATCCGTTCTTCCTACAATAAGCTCGTAGTCCCAGGTCTTCATTGATCACTCTTTTGACCGGGATTCTGCTTAGCCCCATCTGAAGAGCTAAGATATTTTGTTTACGAACAGTATTTCGTTGAATTCGCGACTTCACTGCTTTAATGATCGCGGGTTTCCTAACTCTACAAGGTCGGCCGGTCCTCTTGCGATCGAATTCTAAAAATCTTTTATCATCAGAAGCAGCTCTAAAATATTTTTTACTCAATTGCAACTATTATTTTTTATTTTCAATTTAATTAAAAATTATAATATTAAAAAAATTAAAATCAATAATTTGTTTTCTATTTAAATTAATTCTTCCATATTAATTAAAATAGGATCAACCCCCTTTCATTTTTGATTCCCTAATATTATTGAAGGTTAATACTAATTTAATTGTTTTATTTTAAAAAAAAACCTGACAAATAAATTCTCCAATAACTTTCTTATACTATTACATTAATTACAATTTTTTTATATTCTTTATAAGTTTTAATTTTATTGTAGAAACAATTGTAGGATTTAATCAAACATCATTACAAAAATCCATACTTTAATATTATAAATGCGAAAGTGTGTTTGTTTGTTTGATATATTGTTTGTCCTTCTTTCACGTCGCAACAGAGCGTCGGCATGGCATGAATTTTTGTATGGGGATAGTTCGGTGGCTGTAAAGTGACATAGTGTTACGCGCTCAAGTCGACGATACACTAGCGCCATCTAGTGTCAGGAACGAGAGCGAGGGGAGCATTGAGAAAATGACATCACAAATCACTCAGCCGACAGCACCTAGTCGAAACTCGAACGCTCGGTACCTTGCGCGTGTTTTGCTTGCGCTTGAACATTCTGGATATTTCTTTGCTAATTTAAATAAATAGGCGCTGCAAGATGCGATCGGGGGAGTATTGAAGTGGCGAAACAAGCGAAGCTTCGGAGCGGAATAAAGTGAATTAGTGTGTTTAATTATTAGTGTTTTAAGTTTTAATTTGTGTAAAGTAAATTAAAGTGTTAATTTAGGTAATTTTATGGGCAATTTTTATTGTCACGAACCTCAACCTCGTAACAATTGGTGTCAGAAGTGGGATAAAATCATGCCGATTTTACCTAAGGAGGAAACGGAGGGTGTCCGTACCCGAAATCAACGCCAGCAGGAGACCGACCAACGAAGATTTGGTGGCGCAACGCCGCAGACGTCGGAGGGCCAGCCACCGGCTGCAGGCCCGTCGGTAGCTCCTACATCTGCAGCACCTGACTTAGGTGCTCTGATGGTGATGCTGCAGGAGCTGCAGAGCGGACAGGTTGAACAGGCCCGCCGACAAGAGAAACAGGCCCGCCGACAGGAGGAACAGGCCCGTCGGTTGGAAGATCAGCAGGCGGAACAGGCTCGTCGGTCGGAAGAGCAGATACTCCTTATGAAGGACCTTCATGCTACCTTTGGGAAAGAGATAAGGGGAGGTGAAGGATAGGGTTGCTCAACATGACAACCGCCTGTCGGAAGCTGAAACCCAAATCAAGGAAGCTAAAACCCAAATCGACCAAGTGAACAATCGGCTTGATTACGTGGTGGCTGACGTGAAGAAAACGCTGGACGACCTCAAACTTGGTGATGAAACTACAGCTCCCGTAGTAGCTACTACACATTCGCTACGTGGGTTCAAAGTGCCACCGTTCGACGGGACTTCTTCCTGGTCAGCCTACAAAATCCAGTTCGAGGCTGTTATGAAGGCGAACGGCTGGAATAAAAGTCAGGCAATGACTGCTCTCACACTAGGCCTGCGCGACCAGGCCTTAACAGTTCTGGAAGCTCTCGGGGAGGAAGTGACTTATGAGCAACTCCTTGAGGCATTGGAGGCGAGATATGGCGACGCTCACCTGGAACATGTCTTTCGTGCGCAGCTTAAAGATCGCGTGCAGCGCATCAACGAAAACCTGCAGCAGTGGGCTCTAGAGGTGGAGAAGCTGGTGCGGAAAGCATACCGGTCTGTACCTGCGCTCATTGAAGGGAACCTGGTGCAGACATTCATCGACGGCAAAAACGATCCACTATACTATCATCCACTCCACCATGACATGAAAATGTCTTACAATCGATTTTCTCTAATACTAAGGTGTTGGCACTTTTCTAACAATGAAGTTCATAATGTGGATGACAGGCTGTACAAAATACAGCCGCTAACAAATAAGCTCATAAATAACTCGCGAAGCATAACACTCCTGGCGAAACAATCGCTGTGGATGAATCAATGGTCGGTTTCCGAGGAAGACTTTCGTTTCGCACTTATAATCCACAAAAAGCCCACAAATATGGCATAAAAATATACAAGTTGTGCTGTTCTAATGGATTTACATGGAGTTACTCTATATATGATGGACGGTCACACCAATTGCCTGGTTTAGACAAACCAGGTACAGTTGTGGTGTCTCTGGCTGAACTGTTACTGGATGAGGGCAGGATCCTTATTGCTGATAATTACTACACCAGTATACCTTTGGCGAGATATCTCAAGGAACGCAAAACTGATTTCTGTGGCACAGTCCGTAAACCGAGGCGTGAACTTCCACCACAAGTAATTCAACAGAAACTTCAAAAAAGTCAAATAGCTGCTCAACAAAACGAATGTGTGACTGTCCTAAAATGGCATGACAAACGCGATGTTCTGACTTTGTCAACGTGTCATACCCACGAGATGCAAATGGTAAAAGGGTTTCGCCCAGTTTTGAAGCCAAAAATGGTACTAACTTACAACGAAGGCAAGAAGGGAATTGATATTGCTGACCAGCTCGCAAGCTATAATTCGCCTGTTCGAAAATCATGTATATGGTACAAAAAAATAGCGGCGGATCTTTTTGGCTACATGCGTGGTCAACGTCATTGTAATTTACAATCAATTGCATCCATCCAACGAAAAAATTACACTGCTTCAGGGTAATGAATGTATAATAAAAAAAACTACTTATTATTGAAAACGTCAGACCAAATGCAAGTTCTCTCATCGTTACGACGCGTCACAACATCACACGTATACCAAACAATTCCCGAGGAAAGACACATCAAAAACGATGCGCAGGCTGCTATCAAAAACTGAAGGAAAGTGGAAACACGGTAAATGAAGCAAGGTGAAAGACACCAAAGGTTGTTACCGAATGCATTGCTTGTAAAAGAGGCTTCTGCCTGCCGTGTTTCAACGAATGCCACAGAAAATATGTGAAAAATGTTTTTTTATTAATGTGTTTTTAATAAGTCATGTTTGTTTCAGTTACTGATTTTGCAACAAAGCATAAATATTTTTGATTAGTACCACTTGTTTGCTTTAATATTTTATTAGCCACATTTACCACAACTCCCGCATACATTATTAAGAAATTCCCAAATGTACTTCGCGGTTCTTTTTACACAGTTCCTAATCCACACGTCCATCTTAAATTCAGTAGTGTAGTTCTCACGTCCAATTCAAAAAATCACATTAAGTTTGAACGGAGTGGTGCCCTACATATAGTGCACGGACGTCATGGCTAACTTCACAGTGCACTACATATAGTGCACGGACAGTTAACGTGTTAATATAGTTCACTGCTCTTCTTCCTACACTCTCGTTATCAGTTTTTCCGCTGTATTGATTTTCACAATAATAAAAAAGGTGTTAAATAAATCACTGCTCAACAAACAACTGTGAATCGTTTAACATTACAGTTTCAAATGTGTGAACATAGCAATCGTTGGACATATGTATTTTCTGAAAAGTTTAAGTATATCGTTGTTTTTAACTCCCTTAAATTAGGCTATTCGACACGATTAGGTGACAAAAAACTCTCAATAATTGCTCCTAAAAAGACATTTATCATTTATTTCATGTCATTTCTTTACAAATTTCAATGCTTCAATACAGTCTCCTTCACAAGTCCACTGCTGAACATAGGCCTCTGCCAAGGATTGTCACAAGGCACAGTCCTCAGCCACCTGCATCCATCGACTTCCTGCATAGTCAACCAGGTCGTTTCTCCATCTATTGGAGAGGTAGTTTCCAGTCATAGAAAATAAATAGTAAACTTCACGAACTATGGAATGAGAAGCATAATTTTGAGTACCCAAGCAACTATAATACTTCAATGTATTGGCGGACTTCATATGACCTTTATGTAACTTTACAGCCCTAAAATTCTCTTTGGAATAACGAGAGATTAGAACGGTAGGACCTATGTATTATTTATACTACCATAATATTATTTATGATATAGCAGATAAAAGTTACAGCCTATATACGTCCCACTCCTGGGCACAGGTCTCCCGCTCAAATCTGAGAGGGTTTTAGGGCAAGGAATTGCCCGCCGCGCTGTCCCAATGCGTGTTGGCAGACTATTATTTATGATATAAAAAATGTTAATTTGCTAAGTTACAAACGAAGCATGAATAATAAATAACTTCAACTACTTTACTTGTATTTGTGTTTAAAATCATAAATTTTCCTAATAGATTGCAAAATTATATAGCACCTTCTTTACAATCAAATATTTTAGGTACGGGTTTACTTAAAGTTTAATCAACGAGATTAGTTAACTTTACTAAATAGCCGGTAGGAAGTAAGAAAGTCACAGCGTGTGACTAAAATACTCGTAATGAAAATGAAACTTGTAATCAAAGTTCTATACTAAAAGAGACGCAGGTACTTTAATAATACTTCATAAAGTGCACGCTTTCTAGCATAAAATTATAATATCCGTATAGTAGAGTTTCAAACCTTTAGCCTAGTTATAAAAATTTATAACTCAAGTGTACGAGCTTAGACAATTAAAAAGCTTACAACTTTCGTTCATCTGAGGATTATTATTTCCTACCGTTACCGTTACAGCCCATTAAAGTTTACTGCTCACATACTGGCCTAACAAGATAGGCTTACCCAAAGATTGGCTCATATTTGCTATAGTTGCCAAGCTTGGCAAGCGGGTTGGCAACCGCTTTTTTATTTTTAGTCATTATTAGGAAGCCACTGCTGCTCATTTCCAGGTTTGTTTCCCTAGTTGGGACACCTTTTCTGCCTAGGTGTCCATCTGACTATAGGAGGGGGGAGGTACCCATTCCTGCCGCAAAGTAATAGTGCTGTGGTCTGAAGGGTATAGAAAACCAGTTTAACCAGAGGCTGTAAGGAATTAGATCTTAGTCCTCAGAGGTGACAACAAGTTTGGTGACTCTTTTTCGAAGTTGGTTAAGATATCATCTGTATCCACTCACGTTAGCATCAATGACTGTAATATTCACTTATCACCAGGAGGGCTTTTAATTTGTTCGTCACTTTAATATAAAAAATAACAATTTCATTGATGCCCGCGATACGATACGATATTATTATATATAAACCTGGTTTACCCACGTACTACGAAGTTTTGGGTCGTATTTATAAAAGCATTTCTCTTTATGTTATTAAATTTTATAAAAAAATATCAGAATTTTTATTTTTTTCGTATAAACTTACATAACATAGATAGATAGATATATAGAACGTACATAAAGTTAAATAACTTATATAACTAAATTTAGTTATTCTTCACATAAGATTTGGCAATATTCAAATTTTAATTAAGACGTGTTTCAGAAATAGAGCTGTGATTTAAAGGGGGCAGCTGCCTGACACGCGAAGATAATAACCCAATTGTTATGTCCTACTCCTATCACGAGGTTGCAGACCCAACACTCAGACGAGCAGCAAATGTTCTTTCACTCTTCTAATGAATAGAACTCGCCGATTCACTTCGAAATATTAAAGTTATTATAATCATTTTATAAAGGAATGGAATTTAAAATAAATTTCATTAATGATGTGATTATTTGCGAAAGTGCCCAAGTAATGAAGTAAGTGAAGTAAAAAAAAATTGATGGACATATTTTTGAAGGAGTTGTAAGGAGACGCACTGTCCCAATATGTTTTGGCGAATTTAAAGTATCCACAAAATATTTTTAATTTTTCTGGTTTCCTTTCTATTTTTGTACGTTGAATTAGTGTCATTAGCTCCCGAGCATAAAACCAGGTACTTAAAACGCAAATCCAGCTCCTGAAGCACCGCAGTTCAAGTAGTAAACTTTGCTTAAAGAGGTTACTAATAGCAAAAAACTTCTTATAAAAAAGGTTTTTCTTTCGTTGAATCACTTGCCCCAAAACCTACATTATATAGAACTTCAGTTTTTTTTTTAGTTTAAGTTTTATGCTGACATAGACCTGGGTTAAAGCTAGTGTATAATAATTAAACAATATATTGGTTTAATTTAGTTAAATACGTAAGAAACAGCATGGTTGCGATCAACTTAATGTATTTAAAATATAATTATATTTTATAATTATTAAATAACAGTGAAGTGTTTTATTCTAAAAAGAATTTTTGTAAATAAAAATGTTTATATAATTATCTACGTATTTTGTATATTTTTCAAAAGCAAAGCAAATTAATTGTACGTAAGGTTTACCCTCTTTTACATTTGAATGAGCTGACAAAATGTTGATGAATTTATTGCCTCAAGAGTCCTTAGGAGAAGGAAAACATAATTAAATTATGCCAACATCAATAAGAATTTGTTATTTCTTGGATCTCTACTATAATCATAACATTTTGATAAAAAAATTACTATATAAAATTTCAAACTTCATAAAAGTTTAACTGAAATGAGCGTTGGAATCCTCGGCGTCGTCATATCGATGGATGTGCAGTTTTGTGGTCACTTGGAAGGAAAGGCTAAAATGACCTCTAAAAAGCTTGGCGTGCTCAGCAGAGCGGGACAATATTTCATGCCGGAACACTGCTTGCAACTTTACAATGCGCAAGTTCGGCCTCACATGGAATACTGTTTTCATCTCTGGGCTGGGGCACCCCACTCCTTCAACTTCACCGCATCCGGCGCAGAGTGGATCGAATCGTTCGATGACTGAGTTCTTTCTGGTCGGCTCGGAAGGGATGTTGCATTACCTTGCATTTATCGCATCTACCACGAGGAGTGCTCTGAGGAATTGATCGGATTAATTTCAGTCACCAAATTCCACGAACGAACATAGCAACAAAATTCACGATACCATCCACACCATCTCGGTGCGGTCCACCACTTTGCGTTTTACTAGTATTTATCTTCCTCGCACAACCTTTATGTGCAATTGTTTTTTCCGGATTTTTCCTTCAAGAAAGGAGCCTACTTCTTTCTAAAAGGCCGGCAACGCATTTATTAAAATTTTAGGGGAGAATATTATTCAATTGTTTTTGCAAATATCTTAAAAATATTATATATCAAATATTCAATACCATTGCATAAATAAGCCGTGTTGTAGCGGCGTAGTGAATCAACTACCCCATATAATTCCGTGGGTGTCGTAAAAGGCGACAAAAGCAACTGAAACCGGAGATTAGCAACAGCATCTTCCTAATGACAAAATCCATACATAATATTATAAATGCGAAAGTGTGTTTGTTTGTTTGTTGGTTTGTTTGTCCTTCTTTAACGTCGCAACAGAACGTCGGCACTTTGTATGGATATTCTGTGTAGATACATAGGCTACTTTTTCAGCGGATAAAATCTCATTCTCGTGGAAAAATAGATTATGTTGCAAAAGTTTGTCCTTCTTTCACGTCGCAACAGAGCGTCGGCATAGCATAAATTTTGGTATGGAAATAGTTGGGTGGCTGTAGAAAAACATCTCATTCCCGTTCCCGTGGAAAATATTCTATTTTCCCACGGGAATTAGATGTTTTTCCGCGGAAAAAAGTAGCCTATGTCACTCTACAGACTCATTCCCGTAGGAAAATAGAATATGTTGCAAAAGTTAGTCCCTCTTTCACGTCGCAACAGAGCATCGGCATGGCATGAATTTTGGTATGGGGATAGTTCGGTGGCTGTAAAGTGACATAGGCTACTTTTTTCCGTGGAAAACCATCTCTTTCCCGTGGGAAAATAGAA